GAGAAAGAGGCTGGTGCCTTGGAGTCCAAATGAAAATATCCTAAAGAGAAGTGTCTTCTGTGCGCCAGGATGAAAATTGTGTCTTTCTGGTCGAGATCAATCGCTGAGGTTACTTTAAAAAAAAAAAAAAAAAAAAAAAGGAAAAAAAAAAAAAGAAAATAAAGCCACTCTGTCTCTTTGCCGCATCTACAAGTTCACACAGAGCCTGCTAGCTGGCACGGCTTGGCAAAGCAGGGGAACTTTTTGCCATGTCGAGACGAGGCGTTCTTGGGAGATTATTTCTCTTGGACAATTCACATCATTTGTGGTCTCTGCATTGTGTCTTGATGTGGAGAAGAATACCAGTGAGAATAGCCAGGCATGTAGCTGTTGGGAGGCATATTGACTCCCTTGGCAGAAGCTGAAACGTCCCAGACTGGAGGCAGGGCTGGCGAGCGAGGGGACAGGGCAGCGGAGCCGGGCAGAGGGTCGCTCTCGTGGGGGTTGCTGCCCTGCTTCAGCAGCTTCTTAAATTTGGAGCGTTTGTTCTGAAACCAGATCTTCACCTGTAAGCAAAACGCAGCAAATATTAGGCTGCCGTGAGCACCCAGGGCCCGGCAGGGAAGATCCCGGGGGCTGTGGTTTTTGCTCCGAGAGAGGGTCTGGAGAGTCCACGCCATCCGGGTGTCAGGCTGGGGGTGGGCAGTGGGAGAGGAGGGTGAGCTACTGCTGCTCTTGGGCTCTGGATGTGACCGGAGAGAACAGCAGAGGAAGAGCGGAGCTGGAAAGCGAGGTGGACGCAGGTTTTAAGCCGGAGCGTGATTTTGCCTGGGCAGGCCAGATTGATCAGGCTGGAGTAGGGGCCGTGCTCTGAGCCCTCCTGCTTTACATGTGCCCGCGTGTGTTAATGCCTTCCCGTGGGTGCCCCGTTCAGGGTTTTTGGGGGGGTCACTCGCTCGTTTGGGCACGCTGTTGTCAACCACAGGCACTCGTGCGGGTTTGTGCCAGGAGAGGGGAGCCAAGAGACAAAGGGCATCTGTACGCGGAAACCGCGCATCCCAAAGCATGCACGGCCAAACCGGCCTCGCTTAGGTGACAGGGGAGGAGGCACAACAGAGCCGGGACTGCAGCTTTATTTTAAAAGTCGGTTTTAAGGGAATGGAAATGCTCTTTTCTCAGAGAGCCATCGGCTATCAGGGTTGCTCTGGGTCCCATCCTGCTCCTACCCCAGCAAAAGCGCCGAGGAAGGAGTCAGCCCCCACAGAGGCGTGCCAGGATCGGGCCCGCTGTGGCAGGTCAGGATTATTATGCTAGGGATGCTATGGATGTGAGCCGTACGTATAGATATCTAAATACACGTCCCGAAATCAAACAAACAAAGACAACTCCCGAATGTGTTGTCTCTCGACCTTGCAAACTTTGCAGATGTAATGGTAGGACAAGCAGGGGTGCTTGCCTGTCTGCACATTCAGGATCGGGCCCGTAAATCTACATGAGAGGGAGAGGGAGAGAGAGGGAGAGGAGTGCCTGCTAAATACACCAAAATCCCATTTGTATGAGCATCAGGTCTATTTCCGTGATTAACGTTTGCCGAGCATTTAAAAATCGCTGGCTGGAAGCGGCTGTTATCACTGACAATGATAAAACAGCGAAGTTATTTGTTAAGCTCATAAATTCACATGATTACATTTTGCCCGAATTGATCCCATCTATCCGTGCGCTCCTCCGCAAACCCCAGCTCGGGAAGTCTGTAATGCCTCATGTGTCTTTCAGGCTTAAATTAGCAGAATGGCACAGCTACTCCAACCACACTTAACTATGGCTTAACCTGCTATAATTTCGTACATGGCTGCTTTGATCTTCAGATCTATTATCACCTTCTGTACATTTTGCCCAAGGGTAACCACTGCATTTGCGTTAGTCATCCAGGATGAATTAACTATTGATTTTACAGGTATTTCCTAACGTGTTCCTGCTTTCTCTCTACCTCTAGGTTGCTACGATGCAGCTTTCCTTTTCTTTTAGCTCTACATCAGGCCCAAGGCTTCCTCGCCTTTGTTTTGTTCTCCTTTCCACAGCTGGGCAATTGCACGTCGGTGCTGGAATTAGTCTCATCCGAAAAAATATAGGCAATTTAAGAATTTTATTTGTGACATCAAAAGGGGAGCGTTTGCTCAGCAGGCGGCTGAGGGAAGGAAGGGCACGTTCAGTTACTTCAGCAGAAGACCGTTTTCTCTGTCGTGCATTAAATAAGTCCTATCGCGATAGATACGGGGCCGTGTGCGTTACCTTTGCTACCGTTCCTGTACAGAGGCCAAAACGCCTAGGGACCAGCGCACCGTGCTTGGCCTTTATTGCTCGAGCCGGATTTCAGTGATTTGGGATTCCCAGTAATTACCTGTGTCTGGGTAAGTCCTAATGAAGCTGCCAGTTCAGCTCGCTCTGGAAGTGCCAGGTACTGAGTCTGCTGAAAGCGATGATTTAAAGCCTGAAGTTGTAGACTAGAGTAAATGGTTCGAGGCTTCCGAATCTTTTTCCCTTTGCCATTGAATCTGATTTCACCGTTTTCGATCACCGTTGTTTTTTGCTGATCTGCAAGCAAAACAGCGCAGTTGAAATCTCGGCCGGGAAAGCCGCACGACCCTCCTTTAGCTATTAAATCGTGGTTTTTGCTTTTTTTTTTTTTTTTTTTTTTTTTTTCGGTCGGGACGGCTCCTAGCAGCCCCGCAGCCTGCCTCGGAGCCGCTTCGGCAGCATCGCTGCGGGATCAGCACGGCTCCTAGCGGGGGTCCCCTTGCAGGGTGGGCACGCCGCCCTTCCCAGGGGAAAAAATAAGAGGAATAATCAGAAAAAAAAAAATAGTAAGCAAAAAAATAAGCAACGGAGCGCCGCGCCGGCTTGGCGAGGGGATTGCTGCTTCCCCGGCCATCCAGGTTTTCCCCCGGCTCATCGACTTCGCGTCGCCAGTTTGGTGGTCGGGGAAGCAGCAGCCCGAGACTGCCAACAATGCTTCCCCCCCCTTGCCCCCCTGCCTTGCCCCTTCGGGTGAATACATACAAACGATCGGCTCCCGGATTATTTTAAAGGAAAAAAAAAAAAAAAAAAAAAAGAGAACACCATAAATCAGGCGGCCCCAAAGCAAAGCGGAATGCGACCCACTCGCCCGGAAACTTTCACTCCTCAGGTGTTAGCAGGAATTTTGCCTCCAGCCGGCCGCAGCCGAGCCTCGCCGAGCGGAGCCCGGCGCCCGACGGGGACCGGGTGGGCTCCGCCGCCCCGCACCGGGGGCACCGCGGCCGTCGGGGGGCAGGGGGACGCCCCGGGGGGCTCCGCGCGTCCTGCTGCGAGCGCCCCGGGGGTCGGGGGGGTTAGGAGGGGATCCGCCAGGGGGGGGATTCTCCGGGAGAGCCGGGCCCCCCCCGCTCACCTGCATCGTCCGCCCGCGTCTGGCTGGCCGCGCTGCTGTTGTGGTAGGACTGGAGGTAAGGGCTGTGCTGCGAGTGGCTCACGTAGGGGTAGGCGGCCAGCGAGCGGTGGTTGTAGGAGCCGGCGGTGCCGGAGTAGGGCGAGCTGTGGTGGTGGTGCTGGTGGTGCGGGTGCGAGCCGGCGGCGGAGTGCAGGCAGTGCAGCGGGTAGTGGGCGCCGGCCATGGCCGGCGAGCTCTGCTGGGAGTGGGGCGGCGGCGGCGGCTGCGGCGGAGGCTGCTGCTGCCCGAACTCCATGAAGGCGGACTTGGAGGAGTCCTGCGCGTCCAGCCCGTCAGCCATCGTGGTCATGGTCATCATCGACGCCGGGGAGGCAGAGAGCGGCGCTCTCCGGCTCGCCCCCCGCCCGCGGCCGCCCTGCCCGGCCACCACCGCGGCACGGCTGGAGGCGGCGGGGATTTATTTTTTTAAGGCGCCGTGGTGCGAGGGGCCTTGTTAACCGAGGGAGGGAGGGAGGGAGGGGAGGAGAGGAGAGGAGAGAGAGGAGAGAGAGGAGAGGGGAGGGAGGGCGGTGTGTGCCGAGCGGGGAGGGGGGGGGGGAGGGAGGGCTACTCCCGGCGCCTTTCCTCCCCGCTCCTCATTCCCCCCGACGGGTGTTTTTGGGGGCTGGCGGAGTCCCGGGCGGAGGTTTTTAAGGTGGCTTCTGCCAAAGTTGGGCTCCGGCGCGCCTGGGCGCGCAGGGCAGGGACGCCACAAGTCGAATGGTTCGGCTCCGGAGGGCAGCGCCTCCCCATTGGTCACTCGGCCCCCTGACGTCACCGACACGGCGCGCCGGCGCGCGCCTCTGCGCGCGGGGGCGCGCCGCGCATCCTCCCCGGGCGCGCCACAACCTCCCCCCCCCCCCCGACCCCTCCTTTTGCGCGCTCTTTGCGCGCCCCGCGGTCCTGCGCGCAAAGCGGGCTGAGGGAGGGCCGAGGGAGATGCGCGCCCCCGCTCGCCCCCCTCCTCCTCCTCCTCGCCCTCCACCCCAAATCCGCGCCCCCCCCGCTCCATTTTTCTCCCCCCTGCGCGGTATTTTCGCGCTGCGCGCCGCCGGCGGCCGGGCCCGCTCCGGCGAAGCGGCGCATTTTTTCCGCCTGAAAGCAGCGGCTCCCGTAATCGCTTTCAAATATATGCAAATGGCTACGTGCGGTTAGTGGTTTTGGCAAAGCTTGATTAGGATATAAACGACCCAAGGAAAAGCGCCTTCGCCCTAAATTTGTCTTTAGATTACAATTCCGGTTGATTTTATTTTATTGTCAACATTGTTAATGATAAAAATAGAGTCGTTTTACAGTTATTTTTACTTTCTGGAAGGAGGCAATTAGACTTCTAATCAGGAATACACAAAAATCTCCCATGATTAACTGCAGTACTTTGTTCAAATTGCTGCTATAAAATTCAGAACAATTTGCCTGTAATGATTATGGACTGGGTTTATTTTGGGAGGTGGAATAAAAGTGGATATAGCATAAATTATCCTCTAATTATACACCAGTGTCGCCTCAATTATCCTCTTATCAAAATGGTTGTCTAACTGCCGCATTTAGTTTCAATTCTCTCCTTTTTTCTATAAAAAGAACTTCATACCTTGTTATTATTAATCCATTTATTATTTGCAAGGGGATTTATATCCGAGCATCCAGGTGGTATTACCACTTCTCTTTCAAAGATGGACTGGGGAAAGACATTAAGTTTGATCCAGCACCGCGGAGGATCTCTCTCTCCTCTCTCTCTCCCCTCTCTCTCTCTCCCCCTCTCCCTCTCCCTCTCCTTTTTCCCTTTCCCTCGCTTAAATCTCCTGGCGTCCAGCTAAGCATGAACTCCAGAGGCAGACCCCACCGCAGAGGACCGAGGTAGGAAGGGCACGGCGGAACCCGCCGAGCCCCGAGAAACCCGCAAGTTTCTGCGGACGGGGAGATGGGGCTGGAGGCTTCGGGCTCGGAAAAGCGGCACCGGCACCAGCAGCCGCCGCTCGCAAAACCCCCGTGAGCCCCGAGCAACCCCCAGACCACTCACAGGTCCTGACACTGCCTCTCACAGCGGCAATCCCAGGGGATTGGTTTCTAGATTTCGCCGAGTTTTATTTATTTATTATTATCGTTATTATTTTCAACGCATCGCTTTGGGAAATCTTTCAAGGGTGGTTTTATTATTATTGTTATTATCAACCGGTTGTTTTATTTTTTATTTTTTTTTTAATTACTAATATTTTTTTCTCCGTTTCCTTTTCTCCTTCATCCATTTCTGCTGCTGGCTGCCCCGCAGCCCAGCGGGGCGGGTGGGTGCCAGCCCCCCGGGGGTGCCCCGCGCTGTCCCCGGGGGAGGACGGGGACGCGAAGCGACCTTGGGCGGTGCGGGGCAGGAGCCGGGCTCAGCTCGGCTCGCTTGTTTTAGGGGGATCCGCGGGGTCTTTTGTCGAGGGCTGCCGGGCGCGCTGTGCCCTCTCGCCCACCCTCTCATCGCCGTTTCACTTCTTGAGCCTCTGGAGTCGGTTCAGTAACTCTGAATGCAGTTGTAAGTGTCTCGCCTTGTTCTCCGGCTTTTAACAAGAGTTCCACTTTAACACGCGAAAGGGTAACCCGATCCAGGCGTTTACAAACCTACAGTGAATAAAAATATAGAGAAAGGGGAAGAGAAGGGAGAGAATTCCTACTGGGACTCTTTATTCATAGGTGGAGGTAGCGCGCTCAATGGGAACAGGTACATTTGGCAGTTTTATTGCTTTATACCCTCCAGCTCGCTGTTAACATCACGAAGGCGTTTTTTCGCAGGTGCACACACACTGGCACTTTCTTCGCCGGCAAGAGCACGCGTAACAAAAGGTGTCAGAAAATGGGCTAGGGAGTGCTGGCAACACGTCGCTCTCTGCTTCCCAAAGAGCTCCCTCGGCGTAATGGATGCTAACCCGGGCATCGGGAAAAGTTGGGCACGACCGGAGACCGCTTTGCGGCGGTACCTAGGAAGGGAGAAAGGCGGCCGAGACGGGAAACAAAAAGGAGAGAAGGAGGAGGAGGAGGAGGAGGCAGGCACAGCCTGCCGGGGCTGCTTCTGCCGCAGGCAGCGAGCGCATCGCATCCCTCCCTGGTCCCGGCTCGGGTGCCGGGGGCGCTCCCTGCGCTGCGGGGCGCGCACCGGGGCCGCGGGGGTCCCCCGGGAACCCCCCCCGGACCCCTCCCGGTGGGCACCGGAGGAGGGATGCGCTCGGGGAGCGCCCGTCCCCCGCCGCGTTCAGGCATCCTCGTCTTTCGGCGGGGCAGTTGACTCCATCCAGCCTCACCCCGCTCATTTCCCCCCAATTTAATTAGGCAAATCTCCCGCTATGGAGCTGCCGTTGATTGGTCGCTGTTAATGACTCGGCTGCAAGGAGTCACGCTGCTTGTCAATATTTATTGTTGTCTTTGCTTTTTCTCTCCCCCCCCCCCAATATCCCCCGCCCGTTTTCCTCGTGGCCTCTGGCACGAAGGGACCGCGCTTGTGGGGAGGGGGAGCGCGGCTCGGCACGGCTCCGCTGCCCTGCACCCCTCTCTTACCGCACCTCGGGGCGGAGGATAAGGGGGTCGGGGACGCGGGGAGGGGTGCGTGGGAGCTCCATGCAAGGCCCGAGCCTTGCTGGGGGGGCAGCAGGTGTCGGGGGACGGCCACAGGTTGGAGAGATCAGACCTCGGTCAGCGAGGTTGGAAGGCACCGGAGCAGGGGGGTGACTCGTGAAATAGGGAGAGGGGGGCGCACCCCGGCCCCTCTTGTGCCCAAAGCGAGCCGGAGGGCACGGAGGCCTCTGCACCCCCAGCCCCTTCCCTGCTCCGCGGTCACGGGTGGAGAACCGCGCGTGGCACCGTGCCCCGGGCCGCGGTGACTTCGTGCCGCCCGTGTCGCGGTGCGAGCCGCGCCGCCCTGACGAGGGCTGTGGGTAAGGCTCGCAGAAAGCCCCGAGCGTGTGCGTGCCTGGGAGTCGCGTTCGTGAGCCGAGAGATGTCACACAACAGACACAACAGTCAGAAGGAGCTGACGAACAACAGGAAACGGGGTTCTATTTTTAGGGTATAATAGGAAGTTAATATAAGCGGCCAGAGGCTTCCTATATGCCTCGGAGCACCTTCTGTTCCATTCATTCATTCATCCATTCATTCATGCGTTCAACAATAACAACAGGGGAAAACAAACATTCCCCTTTCATTTCCCATCCCCTCCTTCTCCCGAAGTCCTGCTCTGGTGTTTGTGCGGGGGGGCTCTGCAGGGGGATCCCCTCTTTCGGCTCGTTGTTTGGGGGGGGGGCTGGTGGCGTTCAGCAGCCGAGGCTCCCCAGGAGCGCGCTCCTTGGGGTGTCCCCGGCCGCGCAGGGAGTGCGCGGGGCTGAGGGATGCTCTCGGCGTGTGTCCCCCCGTCCGACCCCCCCGCAGCGCACATCAGAGCCAGGCAGAGCATTTGCTGTCCCAGCGTGGCCGGGAAAGTCCGGGAGAAGCTGATTTCAGGAATGGTGTTAGCGCGGCCGGTTGCTTTTCTTTCCTTTATTTTTTATTTTATTTTATTTTATTTTATTTTATTTTTTGTTTCCGCGGGAACCCCACGCACATGCCCGAGGCAGACCTTGCTGTTCGATTTTCAAAGGGACGCGGAAATGCTGAAAGTTGTCTGCGTGGCCGGGGGTTGCCTTGCCCCTTGATTTTTTTAGCACCAGAACCGAAGGAACAAAGGGAGCGAGAGGCGCTCGGAGCCGGGGTCCCCAGTAAAGTGGTGGCGGCGGCGGTGGGGAAATCCCAGGAGGGGCGCAAAGCCAGGGAGCATCCCTCCCGGAGGCATTTCTCTGCCGAGCCGGTTTTTGGAGCGCCCCCCCCCGCAGAATTGCGCCGGGCGCTGCCCCGCGTCTTTTGCAGCCCGGAGGGGCCAAACCCAAACGCCTCGCCCCGCATCCGCAGATGGCGTTATTATTATTTTTTTTCTCCCTTTCCCTCTCTCTCTCAAGCCTGTTTGCCCCCAAAACACACGGCCAGCATGCCGCATCGCCGCCGCCTCGACAGCAGCCGGGCGGCGAGCACAAGGAGGGCACCTCCCCAGGCTGCGAGCGAGCTGTTTGGAGGAGAGGCTGGGGAATAAGAGCGCTGCCAGCGCAAAGAGCGGGAGCGGAGGCTCCTCCGGCTTTCCAGCCGCTGGATTATAACAGACAGGCAGGCGTCGATGGCTTTCCGTACCGCGAGTGTGAAGGAAGTGGCAGGGAGGCGGGGGCGGGGGGGTAAACCCCAGCCCAGCCCCGCAGCTGGATCACACACGCCGCTCTCTGTGCTGTAGCGTGGGTCAAAATAATGGGAGTCAGAAGGGGAAGGATCCAGAGGGAACCAGCCACTGTCTCTTGTACAGATTTGTAGCGAAGGCTTCGCTGTAATTAAAACCTTACAGGCAGATTCATTCAATGTGTGGCTCTGCAGAGAGCCGGGGCTCGGGGCTTTTTGTTTGGGCAATGTTTTGTTTGGTTGTTGTCGTTGGTTGCTCGCCCCGATGGGATGGGGCGCTGTGTGTTTTGGGGGGTGGTGGTGGGGGGGCAGATATCTGCTTTGATACGGAATTAGGCTTCGGGCTGCTTGGCTGGGGACGGGAGCCCTGCAGCCGGGGCAGGGGGCCTGGCCGGCCGCCTCCCCCCGCACCTGGCCAGGTGCGCACCCAAACCACATCCCTGAGCCAAAAAATGGGGAAGGGTCCCCCTACCACCACCCTGCGCACACGGCCAGCCCCGTCCCCTTCACTCGGGGTCCCCGGGAGCAGCCCGAGGGGCTGGGTTTGAGCTCCGCGCCCCTCCGCGGGGGGCTGCTGCCCTGCCCGTGCCAGCCGGGGCCCGCCGGGGGCCCGTCCCCTTTTGGGGTCGGGGGGAGCCTCCCCTAAAGGCAGCCGCAGGTTTGCAGAGCTCTGCCCGCCGGGCTTTTATCTGGCGTGCTTCCCCGGCCGCTCGGGCGCTGCTGCAATAGAGATGTTGGTTTTAGCGGGGACTTTTGTTGTTTTGTTTTCTTTTCAAATGAAAGCAGAAAAAACAACAACAACAATAAAACCCCTTGCTTCTGGCAGAAGAAGAAGACGCCATCCAATTAAACAAAAACATAAAAAGAGGAAAAAAAAAAAAACAAAAACAAAAAAAACACCGCTCTCAAGTGCCCATCTTGGAAGGGCTGAGAGGCGGATGGAAACTCGAGGCTCTTTTAAGTCAGGACAGAGGCTGCAATTTCTCCTGCGGTCGCGGCCGCCTTCTCTCCCGAGCCAAACGCTGTGCCATGCCGAGCCGTGCCATGCTGTGCCGTGCCATGCCGTGCCGTGCCATGCCGAGCCGAGCCGTGCCGGGCCGAGCCGCAGCCGGCTCCCGGTGTCACCCGGCCGCGCTCGGCAGCCCCCGGTGCGGGCGGGTGAAAGCAGAGGCTTTAATCGCAGCGAACGAGCGCGATGTCCTCTCTCCAGGCTGTTTCGCCTCCGTTTATTTTTAGTACACTTCAGATGCCTACACATTTCCCTTGTTGAGATCAGTGCAATTATTTACTCTACCTTTAGGGATGCATTTACCCAAGCATTGAATAGAAATGTAGTAAACACTGCGCAAAGTCAATGCAGTTATTGAGGTTTATTTAATAGGAAAAGAAGTAAATATCTCGGCTTTACTTGTTCCTTCAGGCAGCCTCGTTATCTAGAGTAGATTGCAAGGAGAGTTCCTCAGTCGTTCCCGTGTAATGAGATTGCTTTAAATGTTTATCTCCTATCTCCATCGAGCTATAGCCTCTTTTGTCAGGGTCTCAACAGACTATAAAAACAAATCTAAAAGTTAATTTAGAGAGGTAATCCGGAGGGATCCATTATCTGATCTCCCTGTAGAAACTCATCTAGGCGAGATCCCGTATCTGAGGGCGCAAAGAGGAGCAGGCGAGCAGAGAGCATCGCCTCCAGCGCCCTGAATTCCTCCTGCGCCCAGCGGCCGGAGGGGCAGAGCTGCTGGCACCCAGCGCGATGTCCCCGGCACCGCCAAACCGCGGAGCCCGCTTTGCTCATCCCAGGCTCACCACGGCTCTGCCCTCCACCTCCGCCCTGCCAAGAACCGATTTCATTTTATTTATTATTATTTTATTTTTTTATTTTTTTTTTTTTTTGCGGGTGGAGATGGTCGCCGCCGTCCACCTGCTTGCCCCCAGCCCCAGCGCCCTGCACACATGCGGGGGGGAGAAGGGGGCAGCACGGGCAGGCTGAGACGCGGGAGGTATCCCGGGCTTCTGACAGCTGGATCTGAAACAAATCAGATCTGGATTAACTTGCCTGTTTTGTGAATTGTCTGCATTTGAGCGAGCAGCCCTCACCCACTCCGCTTCTGGCAGGTTTTGTTACACGTGCCTCTATAAATATATTATCCCAGCCCTCTCTCCTCGTTGGAGCTCTCTGCTCAACAAAACAGAAACCAGAACGAGGAGAAGCGATTTTCCTTTTTAAATGAAGACATTTATAAGTAACCTAATTTCGTATCGTGGAAGTAAATTTCATGCTAGGATATATTTTGCACAACATGTAATCTTTTAGAGCCGGAAGACATTTAATTAAAGCCATATTCGGAGAAGTACAGCTTAAAAGCAGCCGTACGACCACATACCTCATTCATATTCAGGATCCATCCGCGAATTCATATTGTTTTAATGTGGGACATCGCCTTTATGGCAGAACTCGGCGAGGCCTGGGCAGCACGAGAGATAACACAAAGGAGAGCAGAGGAGGCACAGCTCGGGGGGCTTCTCCCGGCGGAGAGGTGCCCGTGGGACCCCAAATCCCCGCTCCCTGCGTCCCACCGCCCGCTTTGGGAGCTGGGGAGGGGGGGGACACCCACGGAGGCAGGGTCAGGGGGAAGCTCCCGGGGCTGGGTGCTCATTTACTGCCCTGGCAAACTCGTGCAGAGGGGGAAGGCTGGGGTTGAACCCCTCTTTTCGCCCTGCCTCCCCCCCCCCCAGCTTTTGGCCACCTCCACCTGGGGAGCGCTGAGATCTGCCCCGAGCCGGGGCTCTGCTTCTCCGAGGCGGCGGCGAATGTTGCTAAAGGACCGAAAACAAATTTATTTCCGTCTTTTCTCTCCCCAAATAAATATCTCCCCGTCCTCCAGGGGAAGCCCAAGCCGAGGTAAAGGCGCCCAGAGGAGCCCCCCCCCCCGCTTCGTTTCACGGGGGGCGAAACGCGTTGGCCAAATCGAATCAGGAAGGCTCTGGTTAGTTTCCTTGTAGGGGTAATTAAAAGTATTAATTGGTTGTGTCGACAGCTCAAAATGACAGGTGTTGCTAAAAAAGCCTCATTAATCTTCCAGTCCGTGCCGAGCGGCGGTGGGAAGCGGGCTGGGAGAAGGAGCCGGCTGTTTCCAAGGGGGCTTCCCAGGGCTGGGGATGGCAACGGTGCCACTGCTGGTGGCACGGCTCGCTGTGCTCCTCTGAAAGAAGAAAAATAATAAAAATAAAAGAGAAAAAAAGGAAATCAAACGGCCTGCCCGCCAGAGCGGGGCAAAAAGCGCGTCGTGGACGGTGAGGTGTGAGGGGCTCGGGTGGTTTCCGATAGGAAACCGGGATTAAAGGGCTCTGCTGCTTCCCAGCGAGTTATCTGCGTGCTTGGGGCTTTGTGCCCCGCTTCTTTCCCACCCCCGGCCCGTCAGGAGGGCGAGTGTCACACAGACCCCGCGCTGGGCTCCATGGCTGAGCCTGGAGGGGGGGGGGGGGGGCTCAAAATCCCCGAGCTCAAAGCCAGGGGGGCACAACACCAGCCCCCGACAGCGCTGTTTGTACTCGGGGGGGTCGTTTGGGGAGCCCCGGGCCGGGGCTGCGGGGCCCCTGCCCTGAGGGAGCGGAGCGGGAGCACCGGGAGCCCCCCCCCCCCGGCGGGGTGCGTGTGAGGGAATGGAGGGGGGGTGGGGGGGGGCGGCGGTTGCCTCTCCTCAGGGCCCTTGGCGCGCGGCACGTGACCGCCGCGCGGGGCATGCGCGCGCGGCTCCGGGCCTCAACCGCCCCAACGGCCCTAACGGCCCCCCGTGGAAAAAAAATAATAAATAAAATAAAATAAAAATTAAAAAAAAATGAAATAAATTGATAAAGAAGCCCCCCGAGGAGCCGCCCGCGCCACCTGCGGCCCCCTCCCCGACGGCTGCGGCGCGCTCTGTGCGCTGACAGAACGACGCCGGCTTACCTGGAGGGCCGAGGGGATTTTATTCTTATTTTATTTATTTTTTATGTTATTTTTTATTTATTTCCGTAGCCGGGGATATTCCCCGCGTGGCACAGAGGCGCTCAGTAACCAATGGAGGCGCGGGGCTCGCTGCGCGGCTGTGACACCGATAATTGTTGCAGCGTGCAACTTCCCACAGCTCGGCTTTAATTTGCAGCGAACCAAACAAAGATATTTGCAATTTTTTTTTATTTTTTTATTTATTTTTTTTTAAATAAGCGCTCCGTGTAATAAATGGGAACATTGTGCATGAATGCTGTTTCTTCCCCTTTTCTTTAGAAGACGTTATTAGCTCTGACAGCATGCAGCTCAGGTTTGGAGGAGAGGATTTTGTAAAGGGATGACAGACAGGAAGGGCAGCAATCATGGGCTTCTTGGGCTAAAGCTTTTTTTCTTTTTTATCAGAATGTTCTGTTCGATGCCATTTATCCTTGATGATAGAAAATTGCTCTGTTGCCAGGACGCTGCTGCTGAAATAGAGGGCAGGAGCCACATTTCCATTTTGCAGCTTGAAAGCTATTCAAATGAATTTGCAGAAAGGGGGAAAAATCTAGAGATAAACAAATGAGAATAAATCGAGTTCCCCTTTCCTCTCCTTTCTTCCTCTCTCTCTCTTTCTCTCCCTCTTTTTTTTGGGGGTGTGTGTGTGTGTGTATGCGCGGAGGAGCCATTCATTTCCTCCATCAGGATTTTGGTTCATCAGTGTTTGCAGCACCTGGGAAGTGCTCTAAATCAGGGAACGCTTCTTTTGCTGCGGTTCCAGCCCCTGAACACATAAACATATTAGAGAAATTTATGTACGTGCGCGTGTGTGCAGATATGCAGCCACCTACCATTTCCTCGTGTGTGTGTGTGTGTGCAGACAGACGCAGGGACGCGGTGTTTGTGAGAGGCAGGGGGGATACCAAAAAGCAGACGAAATCCTCTCTCGGGGTGATCGCTCCCAACATTCAGGCGTCGGTTCTGGAGAAACAGCTCCTCGTTTCAGAGCGATTAAAACCTGAAATGCTGAAGCCACGGCACCGTCCTGCCGTCCTAACTAACCGAGGGGCAACTCTTCATTTTCCCTCCTGGTCCATTTAGATATTTCCGGGGTCCCGAGGAGAAGTGACAACGCGCCTGGCTATAACCCAGCACGTAGCCCAAGGGCTAATTTTTAATCATTATTATTTTAAAAAAAAATTAAACGTTGAAGAAAATAAAGCCAGAAACATTATTTATAAATCGGAATGAATGGTGATTCGAGGCTCAGCTCCGCTCCTCGGCTCCAGCCCGAGTGGACGCGAGGTGCGGGGCTCTCCTCTCGGTCTCCTGCAGCCGTGTCAGGCCAGAAATATCGGGCACACGGGGCCGGGGCCGCCAACACCCCCCAGGTCCGAGAGCCGGGCAGCCGCAGGAACTTTAAATGAGTCCTAATTTCGCTGCCTTTAGCTGAGGAAGAGCCGGGGCCGGCGAGTGCCGGGGGCTGGCAGGTTGTGCGGCGTCCCCCGGACACCGCATTTCGGGTGACCCCGCCGCGTTTGGTGGCACGCTAAATTCGGGCAGCTCGGGGCTCTTTCACCGCGTCGTTTCAACAGGGTTTTACCCCTTATGAACCTACAATTAGCACGTTGGCTTCGGGAACGATGCGTTTCACCGCGGCACCTTGCTAGAGGAGGGCGAGACAACTCCGGGGACGGGGGAGAAACGAAGGGGACGGGGGCAGGAGGGGGAGGATGGATTTTTTGGCTTCTCCATGGGCAGCCAGGCGTGCGGCCGCCTTATCGATTGGCGGATCCCCCCTCAGCCGAAAGCACCGCCGGGCGGACACCGGTAGCGCCTAATCCCGCTGCGAGGAGCTTAAACCCGGGGCTGGGGCTGTGCCCGGCCCGGGGGGCTCCCGGGGGGCTCCCGGGGGAAGGCAGCGCCCGCACCCCGCGGCCGGGGCCGGGCGAGAGGCGCACCTGGGGGCACGGCCCGGCCCCGAGCCCCTGGCGCCGGGCGGGCGGCGGCGGCCCGCCAAGGCGGCGGGGAGGGAGGGAGGAAAGCAGGGAAGGAGGCAGGCAGGGAGGGAGGCAGGGAGGCAGGGAGGGAGCCGCCTCCCTCGCCCGCGGCCGCCCCGCCTCAGCCTGGCCCCGCCACCGACCGGCCCCGGCCCCGGAGCTCGGCAGCGGGCGGCTGCAAATCTCAGCCCAAAGGGGCTGCGGCACCCAGGGCGCTGGTGTCGTGAGGACTGCTTGGGAGGCTTCTGCTGGAGAAAGATTTAGGCCTAGATGAGTCCCCGCTGGCTGACAAGTGGCTACGTTGTTCAGAGGGCTAGACAAGCAAAGATTGCTAGACCTGGGTGTAAAGTTTCAAAGGCGCAAGGCTGAACAAAGAAATATTTAGAGAGGAGGTGGCAAAAGCCACGGGATTGCCACCAACCCTCCCCTCCGACCCCAACAAAAATATTAGGAAAAAAAAAAAACACCCAACTTTGTCAGTACTGTACTCATAATGTGAACCAGATTGCCACAGAAAATAAAACGGGTCATAGGCTAGGGAGCAACCTTGGCTGCAGTCTAGCCCTTTTTGTCAGTGATTCCCTCGGTGCCGTACCCACCACACAGCTGCAGCCGCAGCCCGCTGCCTTCCCTTTCTCCTTTCCTCCTCACCTGCCCGTACAAGAGGTCACTGCACGGTGGAGGGAAAGGACCTGTTGCCACCTCAGCAGGGCAGTTCCACAGCATCCAGGGCAGAGCTGGGCTGCTCTGTCCATTCCTTTAGCAGTCACACAGGCTGCTCCAAGTGTCTTTTGTTAAGACTGTCCAGCACAGCACAAGATATGATTCCGCTGTTCCTTATGACTTTGCTCCTCTAATAAATCTAGCCTATGTTATCGTTGTCCTCCTCATGGAAAAAGTGTATGTGTCCATGTAATTAAAGCATGTCTAATCATGAGCTCATATGAGGAACTCAATTTGGGTTGCATATGTAACCTCATGTCTGGCACTTTCTACCTTTTGAATGACTAACTTCTCAATCTTATTGTTCTTTTAGCTTTGAGGGATATGTGTGTGAGAAAGATTTTTTTATGTAAACTAAAGCAGAATAAGCAAGCCCGACATTCTGCAAAGCTTTTTGAAACTGAGGTTGTCCACAGTTTGGGTTTGTGCCACGAGAGCAGAAGTGTGTCTGCTGTTTGGATTCTGGCAGACGCAGCGCCTACAATTCTCCTCTCTGATTTGGGTTCACACATAGCCGAAGTCTCATGAGAACGGCTTGAGACACAGCATGGTTATCGCTTCATCTCTGGCGCCTTCTCTTCCCCACAAGAGAATTCGAATGCCTCTTTTCTGATTACTGTCATTTAAGAGATTAGGTGTTGGAAAAATTAAAAAGAGAAACATTCGAATATGCATCTGTCTCCTTGCTACCACTTTAAAATGGGCAGGTTTTAGTGGTACATTCCACCCAAACCCCATCATTTTCAGTTTTAAACCATAAGGCTTTTGTTGCATAACATCTTCTTTTCAACAGATTTACATTGTTCATGCAAGGGGCAAGAAATCCTAATCCCACGTACTGCATGCAGCGTCTGTCAGCCATGAAAATACAGAACTGTTTGGTCCTCTGAAGTAACACTTGCTTGAACGAGCTAGGTTTTAATATCCCAACAGGTTCTTTTGCCCTTTTAAGTCCCAAGCCATTCTAGAGTCAGCTGGTCAGAGCTAAAACTAGCACCATGTAGAACTTCAAAATGTTTGTAGGTCATGAATTGAGGGAGGGCTGTGTGCACACCACAGTGCTTCCTGGCCCTGGTTTGTCGGGTCTGGGACCTGTCTGGAAGGTATTGCAGATCCCCTTAGGTGTGTCCTTCCCCAGGTGGCAGAGATGTTTGGGAGAGCGACTCTTACCCTGGGATGGCATCAGGATAAGGCCAGGGCACATGTTCAGCCTTGTGAGCTTGAAGGACATTCCAGACCCATCCACGTGCAGTAACTACTTCTCCTTGACCCAAATTGATAAGGCTACCTTTGCAAGAGGCCTGTTGTATGCATTTGCCATTGTTACACAAATGGTAAAGCTTCTGGACTGTTAGAGTGTCTGTTTTACACTGTGTGATTCCAAAAAAAACCCACCCAACTTCATAAGGTGCTTTTATAGCCATCCATCACCTGAACACAGCTCTGTGGTAATCGCCTGTATCTGAAGACCGATTTTTTTACAATCAAGTCATGTATGGCTCAGATGAACTGTAAACAAGGTTAGACACCAAATAAAATTTTGTAACAGTTTTATTTGAAAGCATCCGTGGCAGAAAGTTGTCATGTTGGCTTTGGCTGGCTCCAGACAGTCCAAACTGATGCTTGTATTTCCTAAGTATATAAAGACTGTGGAGTTAAAGAAATTAATCTAGAGTCTATAATGAGTATTTTTTCCTGTGACTTACTAAGTAGCTCAGTAAGCTAAGTAATTTTTCCTGGCCT